TTCCTGCTGCCTGCCTGTACAAGACAGCAAGTTGGTGACTGGTTTGACAACAGTTTTTTAAAAGTTTTCTTATTTCACTGTTTGTTCTTCTTTGGGCTTGGTGGGTGGCTCATGTGTATGTGGGGGTATTAGGCCTGCCTGATAGAAGGCCTCTGCTCAGGCCTTTTCTTGTTTTTTTTCTCTCTCATTAGGTAGGTAGATGTCTGATTTGTGGTTTTTGGCACTTTACAGTTAGCAACAGGTTTTAAAAGTTCTCTTATTTCAATGTTTTTCTTTGGGCTTGGTGGGTGGCTCGCGTGTGTGTATATCGGGGTGTTAGGCCTGCCTGATAAAAGGTCTCTGCTCAGGCCTTTTCTTTTTTCTCCCCCCCCCCCCCGTAGTAAGGTAGGTAGATTTCTGGTTTGTGGGTTTTGGAACTTTGTAGTTAGCAACAGGTGTAAAACGTTCTCTTATTTCATTGTTTGTTTTTCTTTGGCCTTGGTGGGTGGCTTGTGTGTGAGGGTGTTAGGCTTGCTTGCCAAGAGACCTCTGCTCAGGCCTTTCCTTGGTTTTTTCTCTGGTTAGGTAGGTTGATTTTTGGTTTGTGGGCACTAGTATGTTGGCACTGGTTGGCTTCTGCTGCTGGACACTGGTTCTGCTGTCCTTGCAAAAATCCCCCCACCTCAGTTTCTACTTCAGAAATTCTCACATTTGACCTTAGTCCTGTTGTTCTTTTGGCACTGCCACATTGGCACTGGGTTGTGCTAGTGGGTACATTGCACTGGTTCTGCTGTCCTTGCAATCCCCCTCTCCCTCGCTCGGATTGTGATTCTATGCTTCACATCAGTCCTGTTGAGCTGGCATTTGACACAATAGCACAGGGTGCTGCTGCTGAGCAGGCACTACTGCACTGTTATTACTGTCCTGCAACCCCCATCCCCTTGTCTGGATTGTGATTCTGTTGTTGACATCAGTTCTGTTCAGCTAGCCTGGCATTTGCCACAGGCTTCTGATGCTGGGAATTGGTAGGTTGGCACAAGGTTCTGCTGCTGTGCACCAGTAGGTTGGTATTGGGTTCTGCTGCTGGGCACTAGTACATTGTACTGGTTCTGCTGTCCTTGCAGAAATGCCCCCCCCTTACTTCAGAAATTCTCAGATCTGACCTTAGTGTTGTTTGGTTTTGGCACTGCCACAGTGGCACGGGTTCTGCTGCTGGCCTTGCAACCCCCCCCCAAAAAAAACTCTTTACTTTCTTTTTTTTAACATTTTTTTATTATTTTCCAAAAAAGAGAGAAAAAGTGCATATACCATCAACCATGAATTCTATACAACTCGCTTGAAGGATTATACAGCAATTTTCTAGACAGGAGTTGTTAAGCTGTTCAATTGCAAATACTATACTTGGGAAATGGGTAATGTAAGAGATATAAAATATTATTTTAATTAAGAAAGGTTGACAGTAAATAATATATACTGATATGTGACAAAGTTAAGTTGTATGCTATAAATAACATACAACTTAAATATAATTTCAACTGGGAAGGGGAAATGAGATTAAGGACTGTTGAGGTATCAGTGCATATCTGTATAAGACAATGGGGTTTTTTGATATTGCCTTTTTTCTGTTTCATTTTGTTTTGCTTTGTTTTGTGTTATGGATGCCTACAGATTAGAAAATATCTTGATGTATAGCTTAGGAGTAATTGATATGCTTTAAAATAGGATACTGTAATAGGAACAAGTTACAAAATGCTAAAGGTTGGCCAGAAATGATTTATATGAATTATTAGTGATACTAGAGATAAGATAACACATTGTTGTGGTATTTAACAGTAAATAATATACTTTGAAACTGGGTAAAGTAAAATATACAAGTGATAAATCCATTAGGTAATGATTGGTCAGAGATGAACACAGGGATAAGTGAAAATTGCTGTATAATCCTTCAAGCGAGTTGTTGTATAGATATCTCTAGATATCTATAGTATTTGGAAATACTCGGGTATACCGACTATATTCGAGTCTCAAAACCCTGAATCCGAATAATACCAAATATTTTTTCCTTGCACACCCCTAATGGGATCTTCTAAAGGAAATCTTTACCTCAGCTACAGGAAGTTCAGTCTTACATATGAATCCACAGTTCAGTGGCTGTACAGTGCTTAATTGAGTGGGCTGTCCTATTGATAAGACAGATCAGCAAGATTTGTATTATTTAAATATACAGAAGCTAAATTATCAAACTAATGTTCCATTTAATTCGCATTTGACTCAGTTGCTCTTCCCAGTTATTTGGTAACCCTTTAAGCTATCTGTTAAATTGGTTCATTTAGAAACATTTTCTAATATTTTGCATTTTAATTACAACTGTTTGATTAATTCAACTGTTTTGACTAAAATAATTCAATTTGGCAAACAGCACATTGGGAAAATAGCAGGATATTTTCCTATAAATGACAGTCTGTATGATAGAAACAGACGTCTGGGCTGTTCTACTTCCTACTCAGCATAGCGATTTTTCTGCAACATGTAGGTGAAGTATCAAGGCAAGATCATTTTAATATTAACAGACAATATGTTGTCAAAATTGTGGTTGTTACCCAATGCTTCTTCCAAACTTCAACCAAATACCTAAAACAAATATAAGTTGTCCTTCTCTCTATCTGAAAAAAACAGCAGACATCATTTCCCCCCAGTCCTGAATGCAGTAACAAAACCTATATGCAACAGATGTATATACCCATATATAAAACTTATCTGAAAAATAATATTCATAAAGTTTTATTTTGTTCTTAATATCATTTGCAACTTAACATTCCCCAGACAGAAGAACAAATACAGACATACCAAACTCTCTCTGTCTCTAGAAGATAAAATGATTGTTTCAGGTTGGTCCCCCCCCCCCGCAATTTCATTATCAATACAGTCAGAGTAAAACCACATGGGAGACCTGAAGTTAGTAAAGGCATAAGTATCGCCACTGAGAACTCCAGCATTTTTCTACTTACCACTGAAATGCATTGTAATGGAAGTAGACCAAGCCAAGGCCATACAAAAAGGCAGCATTCTGTTAAAAAAAACAACAACATATTTTTCGAACTGAAATAGAGAAAATATATATTTTTTATTTTCTCTAAGAACACAGTAAAACGCTATAAGACATTTAAGACACTACTTCAAGAAAGGTTTAATACAAATGAGAAAAGTTAGAACATATTGCCAAACTGTTAGCTCATCTTAGCACTAAACTAAAGGAACAGATGACAGGGTAGAGCAGTCACACTTATTTATGGAAGTGAAAAGATAATTGTGATTAAAAACTGCAGTCTTATCTAACAAATATTTGGTTGTTTGATTGCCTTAAAGCACTGGCTTTCAAATTTAGACCAGACTCACAGGGAAAGGGGAGGAGCAATGAGACGCTGACCATTTCCACATAGGTTATTTGCCCCAGGTTCAATACTGCAGGGAAGCATTTTTCCACCCTGCTCTTCACAGCACCATGTTGCACTCATGCACTTCTTGAGGTTTCCTTGGCTTTCTCCCAACCTTTCCCAAAACAGTTTTGCTCCAAAGTTTTGCAGATTACAACAAAACCTGGATGACTACACATGGGTAGGAAGCTTCACCCCACAGCAGCCATTTTCCCCAAGACCCTATTTCCTCCCCTTTTAAAGTTTGTTTTTTAATCGATAAATATTGTTATACTCATTTTTGTTTAAAACAGTATCTGTAACTGGTTTTCTGCTTGACAAATACCAGGTACAAGGTTGCCCATGGTATCTAGCAATTTCACTGCTGCACCTAGTATTTTCAGCATTATTTTTCAGTATTATTTTTCAGTATTCCAGTATTTTTCTATCTAAAGAGTTTCTCTTTTCTGGAAATTAATTACAGGCAGACTTTCGGGACCCAAATCCTTAATACCCTTTTGTATGCCATCGGATAAATGGGTTTCTTTTTTTACAGAATTGTACAAGGATGCTACTCAATCTCCCCCTCAAATAGCATTAGAAAATACCCTCAAATGTCCTGTAACCCCGGGTGAGATTAAATCCCACACAGACCAACTAAAAAACACTAAAGCCCCTGGTTACGATCAATGTTCCCTCTAAGCTGTGGAGTCTTGTGAGCAAAAATTCTGCTTTGTGAGATCCTGGCATTAAAGTTGTGAGCGAGCGATTTGGCTCCTGCATCAATTAGATTGCTCTGGAGCCCTCCTTCCTGAGCTAAGACAAAAATGTGTGAGCTGGAGGCTAAAAAACTGTGAGCTAGCTCACACTAACTCAGCTTAGAGGAAACACTGGTTACGATGGTATCCTACCTGAATTTCTGAAAGAAAATAAGGAGTGGTGGGCCTCTTTTTTAGCCCCCTTCTTTACATATATCTATGATACAGGCCATATGCCAAATTCATGGGGAATGGCCATAGTGGTCCCGTTTTATAAAAAAGGCAGCAGGGAGGATCCATCAAATTACAGGCCAATCAGTCTGCTGAATATCATAAGTAAGATATATGCTAGGCATCTCTTGGACAAACTTTTGGACTGGTTTGAACAAGAAAACATTTAGCAGCAGAATAGGCGGGCTTTAGGCCAGGGAGATCTACAATAGATCAATGCTTAATTATCCAACACCTTATTGAGAAATACTCATCTAAGGGAATAACTTCACTTTACGCAGCCTTTGTTGATTTCAAATTTGCATTTAATTCCGTATCCAAAATGTGACTTTGGGACAAATTATCAGATTCATCTATTGATAGAAGACGCCTATATCTTATACAGGCATTACATGAACCTATCTGAGAGTCAGATGCAGCAGACAAGGACATCTTACTGAACCCATTCAGACCTTCAGAGGTGTCAGGCAAGGCTGCTTGTTAGCACCAGCACTGTTTATTTTTTACACAAGCAATCCATCTAGCTGGCTTAACACTCCAGAACTCTATTCCCCTAGACTTGACAATAGGAGAGTACCAGTGTTATTATATGCTGATGACACAGTGCTACTCTCCAGAACCCCTGTAGGATTGAGGAGGGCTCTTGGGAAGCTCTCCTCATACTGTGAGACAGAGTCTCTTACAGTCAACTACCAGAAAACCAAGATAGTTGCTTTTGGGCGTAGACCGAAAATTTGGTCCTGGTCCATTAATGGCCATCACATCGAGCAAGTTAATAACTTTAAATATCTTGGGGTAGTCCTGCAGGCCATGGGTTCTAGGCTTCAACATAGTAAGTATGCTGCAGACCAAGGAGAAAGATCTGCAAATAGTATTGCAAAATTCCATTACTCTCAAGGGGGTTATTTGTTCCTGCAGCCCTTAAATTATATAAAGCCAAGACGCTAGCCCAACTGTTATATGGCTCATTTATGGGGCCACCCAGTTCCTATTTTGCACCTCTAGAAAGAGTTCAGTCTAAGTTCCTAAGAACTATCTAACAGGTCCCTAGATGTGTGTCAAATGCCAGGGTAAGACTGGAGACAGGCTGTTTAAAAGTTGAAGCCTGGGTCCGTATTTTATCAATACATACCTGGCTAAAGGGGTATCTCAACCCACAAGGTTTACTCCCTCTGATACTCTGTGACAATTTCCAATCAAACTGGTCTAAGTCTGTTCAAAGCTATCTGCTGAAAATAGGTTTCCCCCCCCCCCCAGGTGCTCTTATCTTTTGGAACGGACCAAGCAAAAATATTAGTTAAGCAGAGAATTGAGGATATAGAACGCCAAACTGATCTTTCCAGCATACAAAACATTAAGATGAGGGCAATTATCAAAAATACTGTGGGTCCAGCCAACTATTTAACATCTCTTGAAGTAGAAGGGTTTAGAAGAGCCTTTACTCTAGTGAGGTGCTCTGCCCTCCCTTCTGCTGTACTTGAAGGAAAATGTAAGAATACTCCTTTCTCAGAAAGGCTTTGTACCTGCCCATTAAGGGAGGTTGAGACTACAGAGCACATGTTTTTAGATGTCCGTATTATAAGGTGGCGTGTAATAAATTCACTCCGCTGACTGAACAAATTCTGGGTCTTTCCAAAAAAGCTTAACTTGAGTTTCTTCTATCTGATAGAAACCCCAAAATTACCCACGAAGTAGCCAGTTTCTGTATGGTGATACTCAGATCCCGGAAACTCTAAGGTAGCTAGTTAGATATAGTTGTTTGATATTAGATTAAATTTTAATTTTGTTTTAATGGGTCACTGATGTATCTTAAAAGCTTGGAATATTGTAAAGGTGTACTTCTTTTTGTATGACTGGTCTAAGGACTGTAGAAATAAATTGATTGATTGGAACCCATACTCATAACGCTGTGTCCAAGCGTTATTCATCATGAAATAAGGATTAGTTTTTAATTACGTAGCATGAGGCTGTATCAATGTTTAAATGTTTTAGTAAATGAATTCCATTAATCCATTCACAATGTCATGTTCTTCCAAAGGTTTCTGTAAGATTATTGGGCAATTTTTCTATCTAGAAAATATTATCACAGATGCTTGGTTTTACAGTTTTCAAATCTGTGAATTTGTGTCTGCAGAGATCACATGCCTCTTCTTCACAGCAAAAATAGTACAAAATAGACATACAGAGTTGAGAAAAATACCTTAATTCCATTGTTCCTGTGCAAATCTATGTATACAAAATCAACCCCTTACCTCTAAAGTGCCAAGTTTCAAAAAATGCAATGAAGTTTCAAAAAATTCAGTGAAACTGAGTGGAATGGGTCTGCACAAGAAGCTAAGCGTGTGGGGGGGGGCAAGCAGTGAAATGAAAGTGAAACCTTTTGAGCAGAATACTCCACAAGTCTTTGGAACTTTGTGTGTACAGACTGAGGTTTATCATATTATTTTCTCCCTGGAGGAGAAAACCTATAATGGTAGCAAGCTGTAAAAGAGACCCAGTTTGGGAATAGTTTAATGAAGTTTATCTACCTATAGATAAGTATGCATGCAAAATGCAAACACTGAAACCAAGAAATGCAAGGCCTGGTGGCCCGAGTGAAACAACATCATGAGAAGTGCTGTGATGAAAATGACAAAAGGAACATGTTTGAACAGGCAGGATCTCCAGGCTGGTAAACATTTTGCTTTTATCATATTCCTTAAAGACTGCCTTGAAGAAATATCATGTTTGAGTATAATTATATTTGTTACTAGGAATAAGGCCCACTGTGGAAATAAATACAACGAGCTCTAGAAAGAGGCTCTGGACGCGTGCCCCGACCTTGTGCACTCAGTGTCAGTTTGCTGTGGTGACCTCAGCAGGGTATAATGACACAGAGTCCATCGTTTTCTCCACAGGAACTGATCTCTGCCACCTGAAGAGCAGTTGTAATTCTGAGTGATCTTCAGCCCTCATGTGGAGATTGGCAACCATGGTTCCCCAGGAGGAAATGGCTGGTTTGGAGGGTGGCGTCTATGCCATTGTACCTTTCTGAGGTCCCACCCCTCCTCAAACCCCACCCCTAAGTTCCACCCCTAAAATCTCCAGGAATTCCCCAACCTGGAGGTGGCAACCCTATCTCCTTCCCAGCCAACCATCAATCTAACTTTATCTGCCCCTATGACTTCAGCTTTCCATTGTCTCCTCCCTACCTGCAGCATCTACCTAGGAAGAGTGCAGTCTTAGGTTAGGGTGAAAGTCTGTGACTGCTCCGAAATCACCCACTCAGCTTCCACAGCAAGAACCTGGGTCTGGCAGACCCTGCTCTGAAGTGCTAACTGCTATGGTGGACCTCCTGATGGCACCTGGTATTTCTGGCCACTGTGTGACAGAGTGTTGGACTGGATGGGCCTTTGGCCTGATCCAACATTGGCGTCTCTTATGTTCTTATATGTTATGTTCTATGCCACACTGGCTGTGGTATCACCTGGTATCACAACTGAACTCCAGATGACAGATCTCTCTCTTCCCTTGAAGAAAATAACTGCTTTGGAGGGCGGACTCTATGGCATTCTATTCTGCTGCGGCCTCTCCCCTCCCCAAACTCTGGCTTCCGTAGTATCTACCACAAAATCTCCAGGAATTTCCCAACGTGGAGCTGGCAATCCTAGTCAGGATTGGCCCCA